CCCTGAAAATTCTCAGGAATGGAGATTCCACAGCTTTTCTAGATAGCCTGTTTCAGTGCTTGACCACCCCCATAGTCAGAAAATTCCTCCTAATCTCCAACCTAAATTTCCTCTGTTGCAGCCTGAAGCTGTTGCTCATAGTCTTGCCCCGGACAGCCACAGAGAATAGTCTATCTCCATTAAGCATGGTGCATACATTACAGAAGCTGTGCACTGTAGTGGCAGTCTGCATCTTGTTATGGTAAAAAGGGCTTATTAGATAAATGTGATTTTTTGGATAAATGGTAATGAAGAAATGTAGGTGGGCAAAGTGGGTTTCCTGAGTAAGCTGTCAAGAGTGGAATAGATGGGCCCAAGATAGGCCACACCTTTTGTCTTCAGTGCTTCTGATGGCTGTTCTGTATGCTGATCATTGTGAATCCCAGTGTGAGGCACACAACTCTACCCATGTGTTATACAGGAAGTCCAGGTGCCCCACTCAGGGCCAAGGCTTTTTCCCCAGGGGCTGGCTGCCTGTAAGTGAGGTGTTGTGATGCTGAATATCAGTGTTTAAGTATCTTGTGGATATAGCCCAACAAATCCATGCCATGCCTACAGACTGAAGGTCTGTATCCTGGAAAGTAGTCTCTCTGAAAAGAATTTAGCACTCATAGAGGGCAGGCAACTCAATGTAAATGCTTTGGGAGATGCTGGGGCATAAACAGTTAATGTATTATGGTTGTGACCAAGAAGCAGTGAACAGGAACAGAGTGGTGAATTTTACCTCTGTATATTGCATTAGTCCAATCTGTACTGGGATATTATAGGTTTGAAAAACATGGTTACAGTGAGAGAGAATTGAGCTGAAAGAGCTCAGTCTGTTTAGTTGAGCAAAAAGATTATGAAATTAAGAAGCTTCTGAGACTAGATAGCTCTTAAAACTAGTAGAAAAATGGCACAATGAGTCCCAGTGGTTGGAAGCTGAAACTAGATAGTCTAGAAAGAAGATACATTTTTTTAATACTGAGATTTATATTACCTACCTACCTCAGTAACCTACCTGAGGATGGGATGAATTTTTCTTCATCACTTGCAAGGTTTTAAAAGAAAACTGGATTTCTTTCTGAAATTTATTCCATAGCTCAAACAGCAATTATGGATTTAATGCAAAAAATACTGTATGGCGTTTTATATTTTAACTGGGAGATCAGGCTAGATTGACATAATAGATCCTGATCGTAAAATATATATGAATCTAAGCTATTGGTTTCAGTCTCTGTCTCTCTCCCCCCCCCACACACACACACACACACACACACACACACAAACAGATGGATTTACTAAAACAACACTGTATGGCATTCTATTCAAGAAAAAAATTAAAGCTACACAAATGTATTTAAATATGAAAAGAAAATGGTTAGAACTAGGGCTGTTGAATGGTTAAAAAAAAATCACAAGATTAAATTTTTTTTTTGCCATTAATGAGAATTTTAATTGTGCAGTTAAATAAAAATAGAATCCCAATTTATTCTAAATATTTTGGCTGTACACAAACCCTAGATGGTCTCCAAGACCTGGCCCCACAACCCCTGGCCCCCATACACTTACCTGCGTCCAGCTGCTGAGTCTGTGCGTGTGTCCCAGCAGCAGTGAGGGGGGAGGGACTGCTTTTCCAGCACAAGCAGTGATTAACACACGTTACAAAAATTAATGCAAAAACAAATTAACATGTTCATCACACATGTTAACAGTGATTAATTGACAGCCCTAGTTAGAATTCATTTGTCATCATAAGACAGTATATATTTATAAACTGTAGCAATACTTTACATTAAGTCTAGGGTACTTAGATTAATCATTTTGTCACCAACAATGTATGTTTATCGATAATGTGTTTGCTTGTCTTCAGTGGCAGATATCTGAACAGATATTTATTTGAGACATAGGCTGTGGGCTACTTCCACCGTAACTTAATGGTATCTAGTTAGAAAAGTTTTTGGTTACCTATTTCCTTTCAAGTTTCCAAAGTTTTCTTAACATCTGTAAAGCTGAATGGGTGGGTTGAAAGTGCTAAAACTGCATGACAGCGTAAGAATAAATAAACCCAGGATCAGGTATAATTAAAGCACAGTTTTTCTTTTAATCACTAATTTTATTTTGCTTCTTGGAAGGAACTCCTAGGGAAAAAGAAAAATTATTCTTAAAGCAGAAGTGTATAGACTATTTAGCAAAACATACTAAAGACAAAACAAACTATTGATTACTACAGCTCCAGGGTGCTGAGGGAGCTGGCTGGGGTTATTGCAGGGCCCCTGGCACGGCTCTACGAGCGATCGTGGTGCTTGGGCCAGGTGCCAGACGATTGGAAGGTAGCTAATGTGGTCCCCATCTTCAAAAAAGGGAAAAGGGAGGACCCGGGCAATTATAGGCCCGTCAGTCTTACCTCAATCCTGGGGAAGCTCTTTGAGAAGATCATCAAGGAGCACATTTGTGATGGGCCGGCATCCGAGATGATGCTCAGGGGCAATCAGCATGGATTTATTAGGGGGAGATCATGTCAGACCAACCTGATTGCCTTTTATGATCAGGTCACAAAGGCCATGGATACAGGTGTCGCGGTGGATGTAGTCTTTCTGGACTTCAGCAAGGCCTTTGACACCGTCTCTCACCCCATCCTAATTAGTAAACTAGGCGACTGTGGCATAGATGCCTACACGGTCAGATGGATTGCAGATTGGCTGAAGGGTCGCACTCAGAGGGTGGTGGTGGATGGATCATATTCGACTTGGGGGGAGGTGGGTAGTGGAGTCCCTCAGGGCTCGGTCCTGGGCCCTGCGCTGTTCAATGTCTTCATCAGCGATCTTGATGTTGGGGTGGAGAGCAACCTGTTTAAATTCGCTGATGACACCAAAATTTGGGGGGAGGTGAGCACGCTAGCAGGGAGAGAGAGATTGCAGAAGGATCTGGATAGGTTACAGGGGTGGGCAGACAGGAACAGGATGCGTTTCAATACGGACAAGTGCAGGGTGCTGCACTTGGGTAGTAGGAACCAGCAGCACACTTATACGATGGGGAACTCCCTACTTGAGAGCACGGAGGCGGAAAGGGATCTTGGTGTCATTATTGACTCCAAGATGAACATGGGCCGACAATGCGAGGTCATGGTTGGCAGGGCTAACCGGACCTTGTCGTGCATCCACAGGTGCATCTCGAGTAGAGCCAGGGAGGTGATCCTCCCCCTCTATGCGACGCTGGTCAGGCCGCAGCTGGAGTATTGTGTCCAGTTCTGTGCGCCCCATTTCAGGAGGGATGTGGACAACATGGAGAGGGTCCAGAGGAGGGCCACCCGCATGATCCGGGGACAACAGGGCAGACCCTACAGTGAGAGACTGCGGGACTTGAACCTATTCAGCCTCCACAAGAGAAGGCTGAGGGGGGACCTGGTGACCGTCTATAAACTCACTAGGGGGAACCAGAAGGGTTTGGGGGAGACGCTGTTTCCCCTAGCCCCTGCTGGCATAACAAGGAATAATGGGCACAAGTTGATGGAGAGGAGGTACAGATTGGACATCCGAAAAAACTACTTCACAGTCAGGGCGGCTAGGAGCTGGAACCAACTTCCAAGGGAGGTGGTGCTGGCCCCTACCCTGGGGATCTTTAAGAAGAGGCTGGAGATGGTCCTTTTATCCAGCCCATACTTCCTTAGCTTACCTGAGATAATGTTGTGGGAGACCATATTAAAAGTCTTGCTAAAATCAAGATAGACCACATCCACTGGTTTCCCCACATCCACAGAGCCAGTCCTCTCATCATGGAAGGCAATCACGTTGGTCAGGCATGACTTACCCTTGATGAATCCATGCTGACTTCCTAATCACCCTCTTCTCATCCAAGTGCTTAGAAATGGACTTCTTGAGGATCTGCTCCATGATTTTTCCAGGGACTGAGGTGAGGCTGGCCAGTCTATAGTTCCCTGGATCCTCCTTTTTTTCCCTGTCTTAAATATGGGCACTATAGTTGCCCTTTTCCAATCATCCGGGACCTCTCCAGATCACCATGATTTTTCAATGATGGCCAGTGGCTCTGCAGTCACATTGGCCAACTCCATCAGCACCTTTGGGTCCATCCCATCCGGCCCCAGGGATTTGTATATGTCCAGCTTTTCTAAATAGCCCCTAACCTGTCCTTTTGCCACTGTTGGCTGCTCATCTCCTCCCCAGACTGGGCTGCCAGGTGCAGTAGTCTGGGAGCTGACCTTGCTTGTTAAGACTGAGGTGAAAAAGGCATTGAGTATTTCAGCCTTTTCTTCATCTTCTGTTACTAGGTTGCCTCCCCTAGTCAGGAAGGGACCCACACTTGTCCCACTTCTCTTGTTACTGGCAAGGTCACCCACTTCCCCACTGACCTCAGAGCTTTTGTTTCCACCCTTCGACGAACCTAGTTTAAAGTCCTCCTCACTAGGTTAGCAAGCCTGTCTGGTGGATTCCATCTCTTCCCAGCAATCCTTCTTCTTGGAACAATATCCTGTGATCAAAGAAGTCAAAGCCTTGCTGGTGACATCACCTGCACAGCCATGCATTGATCTGCAGGATGGGCCTACTATTGCCTGGGCCTTTTGCCTTGACTGGAAGAATAAAAAAGAACACTACCTGAGCCCCTGTCCTCTTCACCCTTGCACCCAGAGCCCTGTAGTCACTTTTAATCTGCTCAGGGTCTTCCCTGGCAATATCATTGGTGCCCACATGAATGAGCAGCATGAGGTAGTAGTCAGAGGGCCAGATGAGTCTTGGTAATCCCTCTGGTATGATCTGGGTTCCGGGCAAGCAGCAGACCTCCCAAGATAACAGGTCAGGCTGACAGATAGATGCCTCCATCCCAACACAGAAGGGAGTCTCCAACTTGTATCAGTGCTGTGCCTGGGGGCACTGGCATAAAGTAACCTACTCAAATTTGGGGAAAGAGAAAATTTTCCAAAAACATAATACAGTCAGTGATTTAAAGAGAAATACTGATGAAAATATCATTCAGTGACTTTAGCCTATTTATTTCAATTAAGATGAGTGCACAATCATTTTCAAACATTATAAAAAAAGCACTGTTAGTTTCCTGAGGTGCCATGTGAATGTTTTCATAGGCTTGAGTCCATGCTGCTTTTTTGCCTTCCTACCACTCTTTTAATCAGATGATAGAGTGCTACTGCAGGGATGAATATGGAAGGAAGGGCTGCCAACAGCGCACAAATGGCCACCACCCAGCCTGGGTAGAGCTTCTCCTCCTTTGCAGGGAAATCTTTCTGTGAAGTTAGAAACAATAAGTGAGATATGTCATCCTATAGCTTTACATTACAGACTCTTTACATCTTCTCTGTCTAATGCTAGGCCTATGAGTTCCAATGACACCAACTACATCCACTCATCGAAACTAGTACCCAACAAGTTTTCACATATAAACTTTATTGCAAACAAATATTAAAAACACAAGGTACTATAAAATTGAAATGAGCCATAAAAATGTTTCATGCATAATGTAGAACATTTTTATGGCTGGTTTATACAACTCCTGAAATTGAGCATGTGGCCAGGGCCAACAACTAACCGACTGTCAGCCTGGTCTGAGTCTGGGTGAGATGGGGGAAGCCAAAGGGCTTCTCCCACCAGGGATTTTAAACCTTGTTTCCAGCAGCTCTGGCCAGGCTTCTGGGTATGGGGGATTAGAGGAGCCCAGGGGCTTCTTTGCTTGGAGACTTTGACCCCTAGTGCTCAGCAACTGGGCCAGAGTTGTGAGGTGACCCCTCTGAGAGCCTCATTCCTATACCCAGCAGCCTAGTTAGAGCCCACAAATGGAGGTTTTAAACTCTCTGGCAGGGGTAACCATTGGGATCCCCCTGCCTTGAGCCTCTGATCCTCTGTGCCCAGCAACCTGACCAGAGCTTTTAGGAACAGGGTTTTGACAATCAGCTGACTGTCTATCCTGACAGCCCCAGGTGAGCCAGGCCCAGGACTGTTCAAGATTGGGGTTGACAATCAGTTGGTTGTCACCCCCAGTCCACAGAGAGCCCAAGGTCTCAAACCAGACTGACAATCAGCTAATGGCCCAGTGGGCAGGGCTGTGGCACCTGGCTCTGACTTTGCTCCCCTTGGGCATCCCCGGCATTGGCAAGTCATAATGGCACAATTAGGATCTGATCCCCACCCCCAAAATCATGTCTTCTTGCCATGCGTGGCAGGAGGTGCGTTTGTTGGGATTAGGGTTTAGATCCCATTGCAACATTAAATGAAAGTGTACCGGGGCCTGTGAAATGCTTCCCCTTCTTACCCCTCATGGCAAATAGCTCCTCAAATGAGAGCAGAGGCAGGGCCAAGCATGCAGCCCCCACATTGCCCCAAGAATTTGCAGGCTAGATGAGAGAAGCTGGGTGAGGGGGCAGGATTCTCTATTATGTCATGCTCTCTGTGCAGTAAGGAATTCAGGGATGTGTAATCCTTCTAGGTAATGCAGCTCTTTACTATTCCTTTCAAAGGGCCTGTCTACACCAGAGAGCTAAGTTGTTCATATGTGAACAGATTCTCTTAGACACACTGAGGACCAAATGATTCCAGGCATTCACACTAGCCACCAATTTAGCAAAAAGAAAATGACAAGTAGGTTTGCTAAAACTACAATTTTTGGCAAATATCCCAGTCATCCAAAAATGTAGCTCATCTCTAGGTCTGTCTTCGATTGGATACATGGCTATGACTATATTACTGATATCTTAAAAATTGCTTTGTCCCTCTTGTGTGATCTTCAGCTACTGATTTAAACCCTAGTTTCATAGTTGTTAGGGGCTGGAAGGGACCTTACAGGTCATCGCGTCTGGCCCCCTTCCACTCGGGCAGGAAAGACTGCTGGGATCAGATGACCCCAGCAAGCTGGGTGTCAACACATTTTTTGAAGATCGCCAGGGTGGATGACTGTACCACCTCTGAGGGGAACCTGTTCCAAACCCTCGGCCCTCGACTTGTAAAGAAGTTTTTCCTTATGTCTAGCCTGAAGCGATCCTCAATCAGCTTGTGCCCATTATTTCTGGTCCTCCCCTGGGGGGTCTTGGTGAACAGACATTCCCCAAGGCCCTGATGTATGTCCTGGATATACTTATAGACTGCTACCAAGTCCCCTCTGAGTCTTCTTGTTCTCACCAAGGCCGAGTAGAGAGGGAGGATGACATCCTTAGCCTTGCTCGAGATGCCTTGGTAGATGCATGCCATTGTTTGATTAGCTCTGCCTGCTACAGCATCACATTACTGGCTCACATTCATTTTGTTGTCTATCATGACACCCAGGTCTCGTTCCAATGTGGTGCTAGCAAGCGTAGCACTGCCAAGCCTGTAAGTCTGTTGTAGATTATTTCTCCCCAGATGGAGCACTTTATATTTCTCTGTATTAAACAACATCTGGTTGAGATCCACCCACCTTGCAAGCCTGTCCAGGTCAGCCTGTATTACCAGCCTGCCTTTGAGCATGACCATACTGCCCCATAGTTTGGTGTCATCAGGGAACTTTGTTAGTTTACTTTAAATACCTGAATCCAAATCATTGATGAACATGTTGAAAAGCACTGGTCTGAGTACTGAACCCTAAGGGATACCATGGATCACCCTTCACCATGGTGACTCAGTTCCATCAATCAATACTCTCTGGGCCCTACCATGGAGCCAGTTACCTAGCTAACAGACTGCAAAGTAGTTGAGGCCACATTTTCCCAATTTTTTCATGAGGACTTCATGGGAGACCAGATCAAAGATCTTTTTGAAGTCCAGGTATATGACATCAACCTCATTTCCCTCATCCAGGTGGCGTGTAACCTGATCATAGAAGGAAATGAGGTTGGTCTGGCATGACCTGCCTGTAATTAAGCCATGTTGGCTATCCTTCAGAATACTGCCTTCTCCTAGCCTGTTTGTAATGGATTCTTTGAAAATTGTCTTGAGGATTTTACCAGGGATTGAGGTCGAACTGATTGGCCTGTAATTTTCCAGCTCCTCCTTTCTCCCTTTCTTAAAGATAGGTGCCATGTTGGCCTTCTTCCAGTTTTCTGGGACCTCTCCTGAGTTCCACAAGTCTTCAAATAACTTTGCCATCGGTTGCACGATGACATTGGCCAGTTCTTTTAGCACCCTTGGGTGTAGTTCATGTGGTCCTGCTGACTTGTAGATATTTAGCTTTTGTAGGTGCTCCCCTACAAGATCAACTATGGGGGGTGGTTACCCCCACCATGATCTTCCTGTGTCCTGTCAAGCAGGCTAATACCTTTTGACTGGTGGAATACTGACATGAAGTATTCATTCAGGAGTTCGGTTTTGTCCTGAGTATCAGTTATCAACCATCCCATTTCATTCATCACTGGCCCTATGCTTCCCTTATTTTTTCCCCAACTTCCTACACATCTAAAGAAAGACTTTTTGTTGTCCTTGATTCCGGTTGCCAATCTGTATTTGGTTTGTGTTTTTGCTGCCCTAATCTGCTCCCTACAGATGTGGGCTGTTGCCGAATACTCCTCTTTGGTAGTTATTCCTGACTTCCATCCTTTGTAAGCTTCTCATTTTAATTTCAGGAGGTCCACGACTTCCCTGTTGAGCCAAGAGGGTGTCCCAGCCCTTTTGCTGCCTTTCTCATGAAAGGGAATAGATTTCTTTTTGAGCTTTTAGGATCATTTCCTTGAGGAACAACCACTCTTCTTGTACTATCTTCCTCATCAGACCATGGTCCCACAAGGCCTCACCAACCAATCCCCTAAGCTTGTGGAAGTCAACTTTCCTAAAATCAAGGATTTCTACCTTACTGTCCAATTTCCCTAACTTACGTTGGATGGAGAAAGTGATCATGGTCACTGTCGCCCAGTTTCCCTTCGATCCTCAGGTTGCTCACTAGATCGTCCCCTTTGGCCAGAACCAAGTCTAGGAGTGCCTTGCTCCTGGTCAGTCCGTAGACTGAAACATGGTAATTAGCACAGTCCAGCAAACTTGATCAATTGAGTCTGCTCCAACATGCTGTAATTACAGTGTCTCAAAGCAGCCTTTCCTGGCATGCCTACCGACACCCATGGTTCACAAGATAAACGCAGAGATTTTAAATAAGAATCCATAGTATTAAAAACATTTTGAGTTATTGTGGTTTTTCTGAGTTCTTTGCAACAGAAGAATTGCTCTGTTATTTTTCTGTAGTCAAAAAATGAGAGAAGTAAGAGCTGGCATTTTTTGAGGAGTACCTCAAGCTAAATGAGAGGGGCCTCAAGTCAAACAAGGGGTGCCTTGAGTCTAAAAAGATGAGAACCACTGCTTTAGATGTGCAGGAAACTGGAAACATTTCAAGGAAGGTACCACAGAGACCCTGGATGTAAAGCTTCCTTGAGGTCTAAAAAAAAATTGCTACCAGAACATGTTTGCTTTTGTAACAACATGTATCAGGACCACAGGCTCCATTTGAGCAATTGCCAAAGTCCTCTGGGAGTGGTTTATTGTACACAAATTGTACCTTTTATACTATTACAGTTAAGTATTATAAATTTAGTTCTTCTGGTATATGGCACCTTTATACTGGAATAGCTGCATCCACACTAGGATATGTGCCAATTTAACTATTTTGGTAAAGTAAACCAGATCCCTATCCCAAATTATTAAAGTTGCTACAAAATCCTGGATTAGATTAGATTAGATTAGATTAGACCAGACCTGACCTCCCAGCAGTTACAGCTCCAGAAATCCAGTGAAGGCCAATCAATTGGTCAGGTAGAAATGAGAAGATAATCTGAAGATCAGCTTTCAGTAGCATTTTTGCCTGCTGATCTATTTTTAATGGTGATGCTATGTGAAAGGGGATAGACCTTGCTTAATTCCTGGGGTGCGCCTTCACTGCAGTGGGCTCAGAGGATCAGCACTTGGATTAATTTGACCTACGCGGGTAAGCCACACCCAAGTTATAATGTCATGACTAGTGCTTCATTCACTTGGTTGTGTCACTAGAGCTCATGAAGGAATATCCCATAGTTTTTTTCTGCTCAAGTAAACTGAGCCAACCAGTGTTTCTTACCCAGTGCATTGTGGGAGAACTTGTTTGTCCTTTTGGGCACACGGGGAAATTGTGGGAAGGCACTGCAGGATTATCAGCACTTGAATGATTCAGTTTGTGTCCTCACTGCAAAGCTGGTGGGTTATCAGATCAAGAATAAGCAATCCTGGGTTTAATGGGCCACTAAACTTGGCTGAAAGGCTTGTGTGATGGACAGTAGGATGGAGGGTTGAGAGAAACACCTGCCTAAGAAACTGGGTAACTCTGCAGTGAAGGCATACCCCTATGTCTCAGGATGAGATCACAAAAGAAACATCCAATTTAGCTTACAATTGAGCAGATTTGGAATATAACTACTGAAAGACAACACACACAGAAATCTGCCCTGACACCTTTACAGGCACATTTTTTGAGACAATATTCTCAAATACTTAGGGATTTTGTACTAGGTTTTGGGGGGTTGGGGGCTTTTTTTTGTAATAGTAATGTTATTTTTATTTAGCAGTCTCTAAGGTAACTAGGTTACAGTATGACAGAAAGGCTGCAGTTATTAGTAGATATGTAAGGCATAATGATTTGCTTTGTAAACAGAAAGAACAACAATTGAAAAATTGTAGGTTGAGAATGCTGCCCCAAGAATGATTTGTGGACAAAGAACATTCTTTGCAGGGAGAGAATTAAGGAACTCAATCTATTTTGAAGGGGAAGAGGTGACTTGATCACAGTCTATAAGTACCTATGTGGAACAGAAATTTGAGTCTAACAAAGATATAACAAGATCTGATAGATCAAAGAAGACACAGACTCAAAATAAGGCACATTTTTAACAGTGAAAATAAATAAATCACCATAATGACTTATGAAAGGTTGTGGTGAAATTTCTACTACTGACCATTTTTTAAATCAAGATGAGATATTTTTCTAAACATTTATCTGCTTTAGTTCAAACAGGAATAGATTCAGGGAAGTTCTGTGACACATGTTGTACAGGAGGTCAGACTAGATGACCAAATGGTTTCTTTTGGCCTTATAACCTGTGAGACTAAGGAACATTTAGACACTCAAATCTCATTGAAATTAAATGAGAGATGGGTATTTAAACTCTTTTCAATTCCTTTGAAAATTCCAACTTCTCATTGTAGCAATCTCTTACTATCACATGTCAAGACACCTCCTTTTGGAATGTCTCAGAGAAACTGTATTCCGAATGAACCTGTGGATTACTAGCCCAGTCCTGAGAAATCCAATGTGTGTATAAAACCTCGTGGGAAAAAGTGCTCTGTCCAAAACTATTAATGGAGAAGATATGGCAGCATTTGCAACTCATACCTTTGAGCATAATGAGACAATTTTTCCACACTATAAGATATTTTTGGAAACCAAAAGCATGCAATTCTGGTAGGACTTTAGAGCTTCAGGCTCCTTTATATTGGAGAGAGCTGGGTGCATACAATTTTGGAAATTTAGGAAGAGAAGGAGACTCTAACACTGATTCTTTGTAAATAAATAGATTGAAAATATTAGAGAACATACATATTCTGGGTTCCAGGCACTGTAGGTTGGTTGTTTCTGTACTTGAATACTAACAAAAGCCAGAAAAACAGTTAGCATGAGTAGAGGGCTGATGATCTTCCACATCACCTGCCAGTACAAGTTTGGTTGTCGTCCTGTCATCCACTTAATATTATCACTGAACCTGTGAGACAAAAAAAGTTTACAGTTGTTTTCATATCCACAAGGCTCCTATTTCTCTCTCTCTCATTTTTATTGATTTTTAAAACTACATTTTTCAAACCTCTAAATTTGTCTGCTGCATGTTAAGAACTCATAGGATAATAGAAAATTAGGGTTGGAAGTGACCTCAAGTGGTCATCTAGTCCAACCCCCTGCCCAAAGCAGGACCATTCCCAGCTAGATCATCTCAGCCAAGGCCCTGTCTAGCCTGGTCATAAAAGCCTCCAGGGATGGAGAGTCCATAGCCTCTCTGGGTAACCTGTTCCAATGTTTTACTAATATCTAACCTAAACTTCCCTTGCTGCAACTTGGGACTGTTGCTCCATGTTGTTAATCTGCCAGCACTGAGAACAGTCTAGCTCCATCCTTTTTCAAACCCCCCTTCAGGTACTTGAAGGCTGCTGTTAAATCCCCTCTCTGTCTCCTCTAGACTAAATAAGCCCAGTTCCCTAAGTCTTTCCTCATATCATGTGCCCCAGCCCCCAAACCATTTTCAATGCCCTCTGCTGGACTCTCTCCAACTTGTCCACATCCTTTCTGTAGTGGGGGGGTGGGTCCAAAACTACACACAGTACTCCAGATGTAACCTCACCAGTGCAGAATAGAGGGGAATAATCATTTCCCTTGATCTGCTGGCAACATTCCTACCAATGCAGCCCAGTATGCCATTAGCCTTCTTGGCAACAAGGGCACACACTGCTGGTTCATATTCAGCTTATTTTCCACTGTAACCCCCAGGTTCTTTTCTGCAGAGCTTCTGCCCAGCCAGTCAGTCCCCAGGCTGTAGCAGTGCATGGAATTATTCAGTCCTAAGTGCAGGACTTTGCACTTGTCCTTATTAAGCCTCATGAGATTTCTTTTGTTCCAATCCTCCAATTTGTTGAGGTCTCTCTGCAAGTGTCCACTCATATTCATACCTTCTTACAAATTTATCCTAAATTTACTTAAATAACAATAGCCTTAGGTTAGATCTAAGGATACAGCTGATGTATACCAGCTGCATATTTGATCACCCAGTACAAGTGACCAATGCCATTGAGTAAAACTATAAAACAAAACAAATGTTAAAAAGGGTGGAAATTACAAGCTAAGGTTGTAATTAAGAGCCATGAACAGCAGAGAAGGGTACATTTGCCTGAGTAGGGATCCCAGACAGTGTGATTTTTTCCTTTCCTCTTCCTGAGAGGTTTGAGATGCACAGTAGTATCAGGCTACTATTCAGTAGCATCTCGTGTAGATGCTTTGAATTAATTGCACATGTAGATGCACCCAGTCTGAGCATTTGGATGCTGCCCTGGGGAGAGTAGCTGGTGATGACTGTAAAGTTTTTAACAAGCAGAATTATACACTATGACCTTAAATACCCAATATACAATAGCATGAAGGCACTCCCTATCCACATGGCAATAAGGATTTCCTCAACTAAGAGACCATTTGGCCTTGGCTCTTCGTACTGTATCTAAGTGTAGGCCCCCCTCGTCTTCCCCCCAATAAATCTTAAGCATCCTTAATGAATATTGTATATGCCCGTTGACAAATGGAATAGATAGGAAACTATAAAAATTACTCACTTTCATAATCATGGTGATAAGTACTTCAAGGATCAATATAATACATCCATGTTTTTCTCCATGTGATATTCAGAAAGATACAGGAATTAAAAAAAATCCAAACTTGTTTCAAACATACCTTTTAATCCCATAGACATATGCCACAGCAGTTACTTCAAAGAAAGCAATGATGAGTAGAGGCAAGGAACCTGCATAACTGTCAAAAACATGGAGCCAATAACTCCCAGATCTCAGAGTAAAGCACAGAGCCAATGCAAAGGAAATCAGGCATATCACTCCTGAAGAAAAATAGATACTTTCATTACCAAAGTACTGAATTGAAATGATGCGACTAATATTTTTGCTCTTTTACTACTTTGATTTACCTGTCTACACGCTTCAGTTTTTCCTTTTGCCAAAGGAAAGCCCCTCCTCACTAATTGCATGCCTGAGGTGGGTTGCCTTATATTATAATAGCTCACATTTCTTTTGAGTTCAGTTTCAGAATAACACCCTTATTGTATTACGGATAATTTGTAATGTGTCAGTTTCTGAGCACATAAGGTGCTCAGAAAGACTAGGTGCAACAGAAGACTAGAAGGGAGACATGATAGGCAATACTCATTCCATGAGCATTTCAAAGGTAGAAAGGGCATTATGAAAACCAAAAGACATTCCTTTAAATTATCACAGGCTTCAGATTATTTTATAGCAGGATTTTTCCTGTCCTTGAGAGCCATTTCCATTTGCCAATACCATCTTTAAGCTCCAGTCAGAAAAGCCAAACTGAATCAATGCTCAGTTTCAGCAGG